GTGTGTGTGTGTGTGTGTGTGTGTGTGTGAGAGAGAGAGAGAGAGATTTCAACACACGAATCTGGAAGAGCTTAAGGGGAGAGGCCAGAGGCCACATGGGCGCACACGTGCATGCCTCTCTCTCTCTCTCTCTCTCTCTCTCTCTCTCGCTCGCTCAACAATCAATCAATCCATTCATGTTTTTTAATTTTATTTTTCCATCCATTCATTTTGTTTTTCTCCCTTCTTGTGTTTTTTTTGTCAACTTTGCATTCCATTTCGTTCAATCTCTATTCCCCACAAAAAAAACTCTCTTTTCCTTTTTCTTGAGTCATCAGGGGGGTCTCACAGGCGCGTGCACACCCCCATGGCCATGCACTCGTTTTTTGTGCCTTCATCACCGCGAAAAGTGTTCTGACGGTGTTTCAGCATGCCCCCAGGGGGATCGAGCGCCCGTTTAAATGAGCGGTCGAGCGCTCATGGCGTTGGTCGTGGTTACATAGGAAGTAATTGCATGCATGTTTGCAGCACTTTGCCCCTTGCCCAAGTGCTTTTTAGAGTGCAGTGTTGGGGCCGCCGGTGGGGGCCAGCTAACACAAGGACCAATCATTATTTGCCAATAACTGTGCATCCCTTTTCATCTTCCGCCCTCCCCATCAAGTAACTGTAGTGTCTAAGCCCAACACCCTCCCATACACAACCCACTCACATTCGCACTCACACCCGTGTTCGCCGAAGACACTACTGATACCGATCAGGGGTTTAAACCTGACTATCTCAGCTGGTTGGCATTATTTCTTTTTTATATTTCTTTTCACAAAACAACTAACTCTCGCCACTTCGACTGTTCTTCTTATTCTTTTTTTCCCGTTTTTTTTTTTTTTTTTTTTTCCACGGGAACTCTCGCCACGTCTATTCCGGGGGGCAGCAGTCTGGCTAACTCTTTTTCTTTACTTTCTTTCTTTTTCTTTTTCTTTTTTGTTTTAATCTAGTAATCCAGCGGTGCGGGTAGTTCACACCGGTGGGCACATCAAAGGTCCAGAATCCCGAAAGAGAGGGAAAGCCGTTCAGCTTGCGCGCTAGTCCCCCTCAGCTGTGCTCATTCATTGACTCGCAGATGAGGGCAGGACGGTGTTTGCTCACAAACCACCCCTCTCTCACAGGCCTGGGAGATGCACTGTGTCGTGAGGCGGCAAGAGGCCGTTGATGTCAATTACCGCGTGCTTTGCAGTCTAGCAAAGCACCTGCCCCTGTGTTTCTACTTCAACGCTGCGGCTGTCCCAGAATGCGGTTCAGATGCAGGTCACCTCAGCTGCTCGTGTGAAACAGCCTTCCGCGTAGAGTCTCTAGTATTTGCTAAACTAGAAATTTTGTCAGGTAACATTACACCGCCCCTGGCCCCTGGAGAACCCCCTTTAGGGGCCCGCCCGCGGCCGATTCATTTTATCTCCTAATTTGTTTTAGCCTCTCCTAAAATTTAGGAGGCCCAGCGCCGTAGACATGAACCTGCGGCTGGCACCCTCCGAAACTGGCTCGCGGCCGAATTAGGCCGATAGCCTGACTTTGTTCGTGCTTTAAAATGAACCTGCGGCAAAAGCAGGCCCTAATGTACTGGTGCTTTAAACCACGAGTACGTCAGAGCCTGCATTTGCTTAGCCTGACTTTGACCGTGCTCCGAGTTTGGGCGCGCCGGAGTCCCACTCCATTGTCTTTTCTCCTGCTGTGACAGAAAAAAAACAAAAAAGAAAAAAAAACGAAGAAAAGTATCGACGGTGAAACTGACAAAAGAAGCGGGTGGGGGTGGGGGTGGGGGCGGGGGGAGAGAAGGGGGTGGGGATGGCTGTGAAATTGGCTCCATACATTCCTCTAATTGCGGGTGTGATCAGGATTACAATCTTCTGAGGAAACACCACGGGAGCAGATCACGGATTCCACTCTGCCTCGTTGGCAGGGGGGACTCTATAGAAGGAAAAAAGAAGGAAAAAAAAGAAAGGAGAAAAGAAAGGAGAAAAAAAGAAAGGGAAAAAAGAAAGGAAAAAAAAGAAAACAACAACATTCAGAATCTGACCATTTTAGCTGTAAGATTCAGTCTGTGGAGAAAAAACAACGGGAATAAAAGAAAACAACAGCGTTCAGAATCTGACCAGCTGTTAGATTGGCTCTGTGGGGACTACAGAGAGCACGGCCTCCTATAGGCTAGCCTTCCCAACATTGTTGCAGTAAAGAAATAATCTATATTTTTATTATTTTATTATTTTCCTAGGGAGATATCCCGGGCGCCCGGGTCCCAATGTCACGCCCGGATTGGCGACCGGGTGACCGGCCGGGCATGACCCCCGGATTTGGGCTCCTCTCGGAGAGCGTAGAAAAAAAACACTGCCTTTTTTTTTTTTTTTTTTTTTTT